GATTCAATAAATTACGTCTCCGTGTGAAACGCGACGCTCGATAAAATTGCTTCCCTGCGTCGAGTCAGCTTCGATCGTTCGACACCTGCGCTTCATTCGATTGAACTGTCGCGAAAATGCGAATTCCTATGAACGCGGACGTGTTTAAACGTTATGTGAATATCAAGTGACGACGAACGTAACCTAAAGTTTACGACGATAATCTGTGAAGTTACTCGTGACACTTTCGTGGGAGTTTGAACGATATTTAAAATCTTATCATTTATTAACTTCCTTCGCGTTGTGTCAACCTAAGAATTATCGTTTGTTTTATTGTTGAGTTGGAAAGATTTATGATAGTATACAATTTTATAATTATTATCAGCAAAATTTACTTTCTAATTTTATGTATTTCAATATTTCTAGTTGTTATAACCTATAGTAGCCGATTGAGTGTTGTGCATAATGAAATGGTGAAGTTCTTAGATTAGGTTAGGTTAAATAATAACAAAATCACTTGACGACAGAGCAATTTACAAATGAATTAAACGAACTTTTCGACGTACGTGAACTTGTGCATCGTAGAAAAAATTGAAAAAATCGATCGATCGAAGCAAGTAGCTCACAGAAGTACCTTCGTCGCTAAATCCTGTGAACTTATCGAGCGGTTTCGTTTAACCTAACGCTACGAAACGACCCAGATAATGGGCAAAAGGGGGCGCAGGGAATCGTCGAATCGCTGTGGAGACTAATGCCGATTTACGAGGCCGCAATTTTCAATGCGAGAACCGCAACGGAACGATGTTATCGTCTTTTTTGCCATCATTGTCATTGCTACTAATTCGATTACTGTTTCGGTATTTTCTGCAAGAAGTAAAAGAAAAATTCGTGTGTTCGTAAATATCTGACGCGGTAAAAAATGTATTAAAAATCTCTAAGTGATATTTCATTGAAGGAACATAAATCTAACCTCAAATTTTTATCGTACTGTCACATTGCCAAATCGTAAGAAGTAAAATAATAGAAGTATCGTACTATAGAGATAAAAAAAAGTTGAATAAGTTTGTTAAATTGTTTGAAAAATTGACAACACTTGCGAGGACATTGTTCCCATCACTACCTCCTTCCCCTCTAATCTTTCCTCACTCTTCGCTTCTCCTCCTTTTATCGCCACGTTCTTTCTTTTGCCAGCATTTCCTCGTCGAAGGAGCTACAATTTAATTCAATCTTCATAAACTCGCCAGCCCGAATCCGCAGTTTATGATAATGGCTGCCACATCGACGACCCGCCACCGAAGACCGACTGACACTGCAGATTCTTCCGTTTCCTTTTTTCATTCCGTGGGAAACGTGTTCGCTCGTCGGCTGATAAGAGTTTCCATCCAAAGATGTAGAAATTTATTATACATGTAGGTGTAAAAATCATACCGAGCGTTTGTGCATGGTCCTGTGACGTCATAACATAGATAAGCTTTTATTTGTCCCACGTACTATACATTTATTATAAAAATCTTTTCTTTTTTATAAACAACTAATATTATTAACATGTTGTACGTAGAGGCGCTAATTTTTCAAACGCTAATATAAATGCAATATTTCTATACGTGTGGGCGATAAGGAAGAAGTATAATATAAAAAAATACTATACACATATTATAAAAATCTTTTTCTTTTATGAACAACTAATATTATTAACATGTTGTACGTACAAAAGATAATTTTTCAAACGCAAATATAAATAAAAGATGAATAAAAAAATAAAATTTAACCTGACCAATTGAAGGATATGTGTAACTCGGTAAAGTCTAAACTAATGTCCACGAACGATGGACAATACTTTTACACTTGTCTTTACTTCGGCAACTCTCGTCCCTTTCCGTCATATTCGTGTGCTCGTAAATAGAAGACTCATACCTAATTTGTTAGCCAGCCATTCCAACTCTAACCGCTGTTCTCGTATCAATCATTCTAAAGGAATAAGTCACGCAAGCGAGCGAGTAGGCAAGGTAGAAATCTGTAGATTCGCATTTCCATCAAAGTGCTTCCTTCCCTTCGCGGTTCCTTCCGGGGTTTAAGCTTATGACAAGCCTCTTAAGACGGAAAGCATTCGTAAAATGAATCCAGCCGACGCGACGGGCGGTTCATTTTTTCAAATGGAATCTGCCAGGCGGGAAAAGTGGAGGGGAAGGGTGGCTAGCTCGCTCGGTTCGTATGCAAATCTGAAAAAAGCGGAACGGAACGGAATGGAACGTCGACAGCCAGTCGAGAATCAGCAGCCGTATCAACCGGCGACTTATTATATTCGGAATAATAATAAGGCGGTGGATGCATTCTCGGGAATAAGAGCTTTTAGCAATTCAAACTATCGTTTGGGCTGGTTGTTTTCCTCGTCGTGCTGAGCCGGTAGACACGCCGGAGAGTTTTCGTGCCGCGGAAGAAAAGCGAGGATCCGGACCGCGGATTTAAGCAGGATGTTTGATAAACGCCGTGTCTCCTGTGCGACGAGAGAAAACTCTTGCATCCACTATGAAACCAACGTTGCTCCCGGCGTACTTCCTTTGTACTCTGCCCTTGCCTTTTTCCAATCTGCAAGTTTCGTTTTCCGGGCAGTAATTTGGCGGGATTCGAAGGATATAGGTTAGAATTTTTTATGATTGGAAGAATAATATTGTATAATATAAATAAAATAGTAATATATGACTGATTAAAAATGTAAGATATACGTACAATTCAAACATTGGTTAAATAAAAATTTTCATTTTGTCATCGACTCTTATTATACTTCGATATTTCTAACCTCTATATAGAATAGGTGCTTTTAAAAGTACTTCTAACAAAATTCCACGTGACAAGAACGAGTAATGTAGCATTTTTTTTTTTTAGAACGAAACAGTATTATAAAGGTATTGTGCAACGTATTAATCTCTCAGCTACGGAAATTCTTAAATCGAATAACTTTTACAAACTCTTCATATCCACGGCAACGTAGCGTTCCTCTTCATCGAGAATAAAGGAACTACAGAAAATTAGGTCGAGCCTCGACGAATTCAGCATCCACCTCTGCGTTTTCAGCAACGCTTTATATTTAAAAGATATTCCACTCGCAGCGAGAGAGCAGGATGTCGCGGGAAGAAGCAGCTAAATAGCGAGAGAGGGAGAGGGAAGGCCGTTGGGAAACAGAGAGGCGTTTCAAGGAGGTCCACGACCACTCCATTTCCTTCCTTTATTCTTCGTTCCGACTGTCGTTTCCCTGATGAGTCTCCAACCGACCGGAACTTTTAGAAACCTTCGGCTTGGAATTCGAATTCGTTTCTGCTTCGAGTGGTAAACCACAGACATGGCCCTACATCGCGTTCCGCAAATATTATTCGCGCGCTTCTAGTGAGAAGACGGTCACCATATTTGCTGTACGATTGGCTCTCGTTTCGTTGCAGTTGACCGTCGAGTGCCTTCATCTTTGTTACGTTTATAACTAACGCGAAATAAGCAATGACATGTTGTATTTTGTGCATCCAAACGATTTATGTTAAGTATTGAATATTAAATTAAATAATGCTTGATATGAAAATAATGGAGAAGTACTGTATATATATATATAAGCGATTCTTCCATTTCTTGATCGAGAAAGTAATTTTAATTAAATTCAAAATTTATTCAATTACTCATTAAATTTTAATAAATTAAAAAAATATATAAACGATTCTGTAAGTAATTGAGGCCATTGATGAAAAAAAGGCACGTAGCCTTTTCCTTAAATCCTTTAAGTCGACTCAGGTATATGTTATATATGTATATAATATATCAAGGACATGTTACTTCTCTTTTAGATTTAATTGCATTACTTTCTATTAAGTAATACAATAATGAAAACTTTGAAATCGATTTTCTTGAAATGGTATTTCGGCGTATGTGTCCTTTTTCCAACAAACACCTCAATTGTTCAATCTTGAACCTCTGCGTCTCAAGCGAGGAAGAAAACTGAAGTAGCGAAGTTATTAATCTAATCTAAGTCAGTGAAAGAAATGATTTACTACGTATCTTCTTCACTTATCAACGAACGAATAGTCTTGCTCTCTTTTCTCAGTGTGTAGAAACAAGTCGTTATCACGGCCAGGTAACGCGACAGCACTGTACAACATGTAGAGGGTATTTAAAAATTTACGGACAATAATATACATGAAACGGTAGAGGTAGATGTAAGAAACATTTTAGGTCTAATAAACGTATATCCAATATTGCTTTATTACTGAGTAACAAAGATTGGAAAATGTACAAGTTAGGCGCCAGGCGTCGAGTAACCCGCCACGCACCAACTTCACTCTCCGCGAGATTTCGATAAATTCTGTATCTTAAACTTATTCTAAGACCTTCCAAAAACTCTAAATGACCTCGATTCGTGATGAATAACGAAAAATAGCAACAGTATTTCCACTCGCATTTTTCAGGTACTAGAACAAACTCAGGAAAGTTTCCCTACTTCACGGAGTGCTACACTTCTTTTTCACTTGCTACCAAGTAAAACTTTACGCATCGTTAGGTCAAGAACCTCCTAAATAATCATATAATTCCTAACAAATCCTAAAATTTCAGATGCGTTCTGGAATACCATATACTTAACCCCTTAACCTATGATTTCTTTTCCGACTATGCATCTAAGCGTCAACCGTTTACCGTTTCAGTACTGTATCAGGCAACAAAAGTTAATCTGTCACAGATTAATTACATTTAGTAATCCTCAGTCTTACAAATTCAACCGAAAGTTAGGATTACAATGAATTTTTCTCACATATTCACCAGAATCTCTGCCACGAGTCTGACTCGTTATAGATTAAGAGATTAACGACAAACGATCGATGCAATTTCGACAATCGATAACCCTGAATCTTCACCTACACATCTCTCGTTCGTTCGACGCAACAAACAACAAAGTTTCACGCGATATTGTTAAAAATGCAACGTCACTGGCCTTGCTGCCACTTATCTCAGATTACCGCACCTGCATACCTCGTAGAGAGTAAAAAATGAAGCAACCCTGGCTAGGTAAGAGAGGAGGTTGAACAAGACACACACGTGTGTGGTGCTGCAACGAAACCGACGTGCATACAGGCCACGATAAGTTTTTAGGTTAATAAGGCAAAATAACGGGCGAAAGGGGAAGGGACGGGGAGGAGTAGAACATTCGAAACGCGTAATTCGCGAGGCGGGAGAAGCCTTATCGCGTGGCCAGTTCTCCCAGCGCTCGCGTGAAATTTCATTAATTAGCAAGGTGGAGAGGGGCTTGGTTTGGGAGCAGCGCGGAAATAAAAGCGGCAGCCATAGTGTGCACGACGAGTATCGTCGGCGTAAATCTGAAAAAACTGGATTCTGCCGCCTGCGACACTGCAACCATGCTGCACTGGCTATTTCTATTCTCAGCTATTAATCGTCCGTATCGTTTGTAATTATAGTTTCTCTTGGTAGAGAGAAAAAGAGAGAGAGAGAGGGAGAGATTTCATAAGATTTGGAGGAGAATATAGTGGAAGCAGTTTCGCAACAAAGAAGAAAAGCTTGGTACAAAAAAAAAAACAAAAAGGAGAAGAAGAAGGGAGAAAGAAGTGGGAGTTGGTGTTGCAGGCGCGGAGAAGAATCGCTGCGAGCAACTGAAGTTTCTGGCATTGGAATGGGGAAAGGGTAGAAAAGTTTTTACCGCTTTAATCTGAACTTTACGATAAGGAGATTGCATCAAACGGGGCATTGTAAGTCACCTAGCAGGCCGGCGAAGTGCCTTTCACTGTAGCCTTTTGCTCGATGCACCAACTTTTTCCTCCTGTGTATACGTGCAGTTGTACCTTGAAAATGGAATTAAATATCGGCCGACGAGAAAGTACAGAAAAAGTGTCTTTGTTCACCTTCCATTTTTCTCACCGTCAGCTTTCGTTCTCGTTCACCTATGAATTTTTAGCGAAAGATCAGCAAATTCTCGTGTTTTTTAACAAATTTTCACTGCTCTAACTTCATAGCAAACTCTATATTTTTGAAACTGAATAATTTCATAGCAAACTCAGATCTGCACACCCCAATCGCTCGAGATCTCACAGGTGTCGCGTAATATCGTGGTACAGAATCGCGTCAGAAACGAAGGAAACTGATCTTCGTGTGAAAATAAACTTTCTGAACGAACGATAGAAGTTTTCATACGTGTATCTTCGAAACTGGAACCAGCAGAAGAGCATGACGCTGTCAGCTTAACATGCTTTGTTCGACCAAACGTGCTGTGGAAAAATAAAAAAAAAACTATCCTCGCAGAGTGTGCAAGGGACGATGGAAAAAACAATTTGAACCGTGGAAAGTCGAAAAGTTAATTGTTCTGAGAGACAGGTGTGGCATTCTACTTTCGTCGATACCCGCTGGAGGGTGCATCCCGGTGCAGCTTGTCTTCGTGGTGTGTTTTAATTACAAAACTAGAGCTGAAAATATTTCCTCACGAGGCGGTATTCGGTGAGAGGTTAGGTTTGGTAGAAGAGGGAGAGACATCGTCGGCTAGATAAAATTGTCAAACGACGCATGGGGCAAGTTAATGTATGCCTCAGGATCTGTCGTTGTATTTAGCACACGTACCGACTCTTTGTTTCCTCGAGTTGGCTCGCGTTTGTTTGCTTGTAACGTGGCGTGCACCGGTTCCAAAGAAACGGTAGCGTTTCGTACGTCTGAAGTAGTGAAAAACGCGATGGAAAATCATTGTCTTGCTGTTTCTCGTTACATATTTATTATACAGGTAGAAACGCAGGTTGAAAATGTAATTCGAGATATAAATGAAATGAAATAAATTGAGAAATCTATAATGAACATAATGAAAACCCTACAAATATACTTATTTCTGTTATTCGTACTTGCGAAATGTTTAATTAAATGAAATTAAACGAAGAGGAAATTTTTAATTTCTATCGTTAACCTGTAGCGAGCAATTCATGTAGGCTACTGCCACACCGTACTTCATTGACGGTAACAACAACCAACCACTCAACCCATCCGATAAAGAGACAACAGTTTCTAGGTGCAGATCCAGAAGACTCACCCTACAAACAAAAAAAGAAAAAAAAATGTAGCGAGCCTCCTACGCTCTGCCACCAGAGGGACGGACTAACAACAAGTTCTCGCTAGTCTCATAAGTGCTTCTATTCGTATATATACACCTTCTGACCTAAGAACGTCAAGTCTCTATGAATCTGAGGCACAATTCTCCAAGAAAGCCTAACTGACCAGTCTACTATGAGGTCCAGGACGATACGCCAGACTACATTTCCTTTTCCGCTTATTCTCTGTCATTTTCGTACCTCCCTTCAAATCCTTTGCGATCCGAATAGTCCATTTAGTCCGCACTCATTTGACCACTGTCGGGCAGTACCGTATAGTTTACCTTTATTTTTCAATATGTTGGCGTAATATTAGTTATGAAACGTTAAATTTCAGTATGATATTAATGCATAAAAAATGATTCCTTATCGTTTATAATTTATCATTGTGTGGATATCTGAAGGCAAAAATTTCCTACGTCGAGTCTGCAAAGGGTTAAGACTAACCTGATTTAACTGAATTTATAATTGGTGCACAAAATGAACAGCCAGAATAATATAACTAGGTTTACTGAAATTCTATGCAAAACAAAGTTTTCACAAATAATGGATAATTATTACCTAAGATTATCACACACGACAGTTTTACAAATTCAAGAGAATTTCATCTTACTTGAAATAGCTTCGTCATCAAAATCGATACATCGAATTGCCTTGTTTGCAGATCGATACTCGGTGTGCATTTCATATGAAAAAAAACGAGTCGTCTCTCTTTCTATCCAATTTCATCTGTCAAATTATCCGCTACAGCGGAAGGCTGAAACTTCTGCCGTTGAAGAGGCCAGAATGGCGTCAAAACGTTCCTCGATTTTGTCGCCGGTTTATTTCCTTTTGCTCGTCCCGTTTCATTGCAGAGGACTCACAGGTAAAACGCTTTTCTATCGAAACCTCGAAAGAACGAGATCACGTATAGATTTCATTCTTCCTTTTGATCTAACTCGTGTTTATGAAATTATTATTATTACTCGAAATTAAGACGACGAGCGACGATTTAGCCAGGTGAAAGAGGAGAAAATTTAGCTTACCTTCTGTAGAGCTTGTTAATGGTTAAATAGATGTAAAGTGTAGTTACCAAGAGAGCCTTGTAGGTAATTATTGAAGATTGGAAGGTAATTGATTTGACGAAGGTCGAAATGTAAGTAAGCTTAGGAAGCTTGGAACGTAAGTAGCTGTAATGAGCTGCAAACCTAATTGTCACTTTCTTCGTTGAAACATTTATTAAATACAAGCTTTAAAGACAACCTCGATATACCTGCTCTGTTCATTAAAATAGCTTTTGATCGAGCATGTTTGCCGAGCACATGCGTAATTTCCGAAAAATGAAATTCACTCAAGTTCTCGTATTCGCGACGAAACTTCAACGCAGACGTGTGGTTGCTAAAATTTTCAAAACTTCCTTTTTCCTCCAAATGGCGCATCCACTCGCGCTCGTTTTACACTATTCCGCGTAGCGCATTCTCCCTTGTATATCCAAACGCATCTCCCAGACACGATTTCGAATTAATTAAAATTAATTAATGCTGCTAGCATTCTGGATTAAATATTTTTACCGGAAGAGAGAGCGTTTAACGCGCTTTGCCTCTACACGTGTAACGCGTTACGTTTTCCTCTTACGAAATTATTCTCCCGAATCGTGTTCTTTGTGATGTAAACGCTTCGCTGCAGCGCGAGTTTCCCGGAAAAAAAAAAAAAAAAATGTCTCGTTTTTCGGAGTTATTAGAAATTATTAAAAATTATACGGGAGGTTAAAAGACTTTTTAGTTTCTTTTGTCTGATACGGAATTAATAAGTTCGCTGTTTGTTTGTTTTCACGAGGGAAATTCTGTACGGTGAATCGGTCGAAACGAGTATCTTATTTATCGACTGTCCTTTGAGAAATTGATTTCTAGATCTTTTAAGCAGGGAATCTCAATCGATAAACACTAATTTATATGAAAGTTTCTTTCTTTCGTTCTTTCATGAAAGTTAATTTATATGAGGTGGATTCTTTTGAAATTTTGAGGGTAATTTTTTATACTTATCGACTAAAGAAAGAAGGGAAAATATTCTATTAATCTGAGACAAAAAATTATTTGTTTTTACATGACTACTCGCGAGCGCCATCTATTCTCGCGACTCAAAGTTTCTGTTTAGTTAGTGCGTATTTTGCACACAGCAACGTTCTACAAATGTCACCTATCACGCTTCAATTTTTAGGTTATAAAATACACTCAAAGAGGTTATACGAAGATTCTTACATCGAAGTCTATGAATTCTTAATAAAATAGAAGATGAACATTATTTGCAAACACTTGGTAATACATTTTCTAACACTCAAAATTAACCACCATAGTATTAAAGAACATCTCTCGGCAACAAAATATTAAGAATCTCTTTTCCTCAGTTGCCCTCGTGAATTATTATCAGCACAAGAACTGCATTATTTGCTACAAAAGCAATTTCCACTATTCGCGATTGCATTGCTATTATAATCGATGTTTCATAAATGACCGAGGCCAGAAATTTGTTTCTGAAATCTTTTCTTCTTTGAAATCTTTTTCGCCAATGTTATTCTTGCCTGTTATTGTTAGCCAGAATAGTGCAGAAGGCAGGCAGAAATCCTTTCGAGCCGCGATATTTCTCTCTAGTGGACGAGCAGTCGTTATTACAACCCGCCATTGCTGCCTTCATGTCAGAATCGTATCTCCGGTGTTTGCCGGGAAAAAAGCAATGCCGCGATGGTTTGGCCGATTCACAACGGTGAACCACGTTTGTAGCTTTTTCTCCGTCGACTCGACTCGGTTAGACAAAGTCTCTGGTATTTATCAAAGGAGAGCTTTTTCGAGTCTCGCAGAAGCGTGACGGCTATTTCTCGTGGTTTCGCGGTCACGAACGAAAACACGAGCCGCGGTTCTTCTGACCTATGAGCCTATTTCACCATACTTTTCTTCGTTTTGTTGCCGCTGCCTACTAGAAAATTGCCAGAAAATGCTCAATCTTCTTATTTTTACCGGAATAATCTGTGTAACATATTTCTTTTTGTAATGTATGTAATTTTTGTGTAACAATAGTTTTTATTGCTTTTGTTACAAATTAAGCTAACCTAACTGTTAGTATTGTTATCGTTATTACTATTATACAAATAGCAAAAAGTACAAACATTAAAATACAATACAGATAAATTAGGGTAAAGGTCAATAAAGAAGAACGAAAAAAAAATTGTGAGACGTTCTAGGTTATATTTTGTTCCTGTTTTATCTTAATTTTAATATAAATCTGAAAATATAAAAGGATGATTTAAATAGAGATATATGCCTCGCCAAGAGAAATATTCTAATGCACCATAGTGAAGTAACACAGAGATTATTCCAGTTCATTAACAACATTATAAATTACATTGTCTGATAATACGTGATAGAGATTTAATAGAATCCTATTTTACGCAACATATGCTACGTATAAATTGGGTGTACTTTTAAAAGATAATACTGTGCACGGAATGAGGTATAATGAAGTTTACTTTACCAACGTATCAATAATTAATTATAAATACACAAGGTGGCGCTCATACTGGTTAAAATGGTTGAGTTTGTTTAAAGATCATAAAAAAAAATTGATTTCCATTAAAAAAAGTAAAGATGTTTGAAAAACATTATCTTTGTTTCCCTCTACATGCGATAATCTCGAGCAGGTTGTGCACTGGCCATTCACTTGAAACTCGCAGTATATACTACACATATGCACACATGGAACAGCAATTAAAAGATATTTCTTCTCCTGCTGCGCTTCAGTTTTATTTTTATCGTGGTGCATTGGGCAGTTTTACGCGGACAGACAAAAACGTTGGATACGTGCTCGGAAAATTCTGTTGGTAGCGTTGTTCAAACGGTAACGAAATCGAGATTCCGTATCGACGCGTTTGCCATAGTGTTAAATTACTATAGGGAAACAAGCACTCTAAAATTCTTGTGACTACGCGAGAGGCACGCGTTGATCTATCGTCGATAATATGATCGTTGGTGAGGTTCATTCCATCCTCGAGTTCTATCAGTTCCTCTGTTTCTCTTTGGAAATGTTTAAAAGTCGTTTGAAGAAGCACCTGGTGGTTATTCCAACAGTCGAAGTTAGTTCACGGAGGAAGTATTCTTGGCTGACATCCTAATAGCATATTTTTCCACGCTTACTGTACGAATTCGAGAGACTGTTTGCGTCTAATATTCATAAATTTAACTCTTTCACGCTATATGAAGGTACGTGAAACCTCTAACATCGACCACTGAAGAATGCAATCGATCTGAAAACTGCGCGTCGATAAATAGGACCCACATCGACCCACTGAGTAGATCGATGAATCACCGCTAGGCAGCGATACAGGCGCACTAGTACTATTCTATTTATGTGCCTATTAAAATCTCGATTAATTCATAGTTAAGTTTGTAGTATAAGTTATGGTATATGTTTCTAGCGTAGTTTAATAATAAAGTAAAAATAGTGAACAAGTAAATCGAGTATTATGTTATCCTGTCACTTTAAGTTAGGTTAGGTTAGGTTATGAACTAACTGTGTCTAATGTAGATATTTGTTTCTATGCGTTAATTGGTATGTTATTAATCACTTTTATCGAAATAGATCAAACTTGTCTAGAGAAACGAACGCAACGTGTCCATTTTAATGTATTCTTGATAATTCAAAAATTCCTATTATCTCCATACATAAATTCATCACTTTCGACGTTCGAATATATTGCAAAAATACTATACTGAACATTGGGGAATATAACTGGCAATTAATACATTAGCCTGGAGCAAAGTACGAAACACGGTATCGAAGTATAGAAGAGGCAGCTAGTGCGTGGAATAATATCACGCTAATTGATTTTCTCGTCGCAATAACAAACGTGCGGCGCGATTAAAGGAGGGTTTTATTTAAAATATCCCGCTAGCAGCTTGGCCTCTTTTAAGAGAGAGAGATCAAAGATATTGATGAAATTTTCTCCGTCATCGGTGGCCAGGAAATTAAGCCGCGGAGAGCACTTTTCGCGATAAAGCGGATTCATTAGCGAACGCGCGAGATTTTTCGTTACTCGTTGCTCGCCGGAAGTAGGTCGGCGGTCTTATGCCAGACACGACGGAGTATATCGAACGAAAACGGAACGAACGACACGTGAATTGTAGTTGAGGAACGTGATATGCGCGAACAGAGTTACATTCGAAAGAGAAATATCTTTGAAGAGTTGGAACAACTTCTACGTGAACAAATTGCATTGTAAACAGCTTATGTGTTTTGATTGAATTAACGGTAAAGAAATTTGTGTTTTTGATATAATTTTTAAGTATTTTAATAATGTTTTATTATTCACAAGATCGTTGAAAATTATGAAACTTACATACCTCAAAGTTATTTCAATAAATGAATATATGTTATTAAACGCAACATATTTCTCCTGGGACATGTTTCTCCTTTAATACAAACACTAATGTTCACTTAACCTGTATGCAGCAGAATCTCATTAATTAAATACAGCTTAGTACCTACAAATGAACGTTGCATGTAACTGTTTAATCTAATTCCCAAGGCAAATGAAATAACCATCTGTGGAAGCATTAACATCTAAGTGCACGCTGCTGTATAAATGTTTCATTCTTGATGCAGCATCATCTTCATAACCTCAAACACTAACGATTAAATATGTACCACTCGATGTCTAATACTACAATCAAATAACCTCGTTAATAAAAATCAGCAAGTGGTAAAGTCAACGCTGTAACACCACCAAAGTTTTGTATTCCACATATAGAACGAACACGATCGGGTATATACACAAATTTAGCCAAGCTAAGCGCAACCGAATACGACACGCACGATCAGTGTACTGACACGCTGTGCATTAAACGCGCGTTCATAAAGTATTCACAAAAAAATTAACCAATCTCAACGAAGAAATTTTGAGAATCTTAAAATCAAAGTAGAAGCTCAAACACTCGACCACCCATTGTCAGAATTTTTCATAATCAAGCAATCTCAATCAGAAAATTTCCAAAGTCGTAGAATCAGGCACGTTTCCAGAAAGGAAATGTCGAGTTTCCCTTCGTTCCGCCTCTGGCGAGGAGTTCCACTCGAAAATTGGTATTCTCTGTGGAATAATTGATTGAATTCGAGTCGGATGGAAGATGTTCCCGGGAGCGAGATGAAACGCAAGATTTAGACAAGAAAGAGTGAGGGGAGAGGAAAAGAGGGGGTAGGTGTCAGGCTGATAACGACGATTCATTTTTCAAGGGCGTGACGCGTGCGACGGTTACGAGATCGTGGTGCCGAGGAAAGTCAGTTCGGATGGAAAGTTCGTGTCGCATCAAATACCTCATCACTTCAAGCGTTCCTTCTACACGGATCGAACGGGAGCGGATACGATTCCAGAGGACGACGCTGTTCACTACCGTTTGCAAATCGACGACGAGGAACACCATCTCGAGCTCCGGCCGAATCCACATCTCGTTGCCCCAGGCGAGTTGAGAACCTAACCTCTCTACACTCGATGTCTATGCTAATTTCAGTCAAAAAGGACGTTTGATAAAAGTAGTCTGGGGAGAAATTTCCTGTTCCGCGTTAGAGTTTGTTAGCGTTCAAAGAACAACTTATATGAGCTGTTGCAAAAATTATGGTCCAATCTAACGGTTAGATTTGGCATCGATTTTTCTGGAATTTTGTGAAAATTGTTAATTGCTTCGACGTTGGGAATGTGTTAATTACAAAGTAACCACTTTATTTCTGAAACACATACAAATAAAAAAATTAGGGTTTACAAATATTACGTACGATTTTACGATGTGTAAATTTTCACCGACTCTACTTTTCGCTTTGATCATTTGCTACTGTTTTTCTATGTACTTGTATTAGATTACGTTGGATTGGAATATTTTATTCTGGTACTCGAAGCAGTTTCCACGAAATAGATAATTTTCTGCAATTTAGGTGCTGTTATCGAAGAACATAGGGCATCCAGATCTTCTGCAGATGAAAAGAATGATGACGTTTTAAAAAATTTGAAATTACAACGAATGCGCGATTCCCAATGCCACTACCAGGGCCGTGTTCATGGGCAGTCAGGAAACAGCGCCCTCTCTACTTGTTACGGCCTCGTTAGTAGCACAATATTACTCCCTGTCACTTACAGTCGTTTGAAACTTAGAAACGAGTCGACTTTACCAATTATAATTTAAAAATTTACAGAAATATTCCACACTAATAATACCTCGAAATACACGCATTTAAAAAAAGAAATCGATTGCTTCACTCCGCCTAGGTGCACCTAACCTCTTAAATCGATTAGCAGAAGTCAATAACAAGACTCTCCTGGATAAAGTTTTCAAACGACTTGAACAAATGACTGTTCGCGCCGTGACGTAAAATAAATCTGACCAGAAGGAATCTCGGTGTTCTCATCTCGCAGGCCGGATATATTAGAACGAAACGATCGTCGTACACGATCGAGCCGGTGGCGGGTCACGACTTTACCAAAGAAACGGAGCACCCGCATGTCGTCTACAAAAAGCAACCGGACGAATTCGGAAGGAACGCCGAGATTCTATGTAATGTCACCGGCGATATGACCAAAAGCATTGCCAAGCGCGCTTTCAGTTCGCAGAAAAGCCAGCAACCGACTAAGAAGCAGGCTACCAGATCACAGTACACGTTGGAACTGCTGCTGGTACTCGACAAGACCGTTCTCGATTATCGCCAGGACCTCGACGTCGAGAATTACTCGCTGACGCTGCTCAACATGGTACCAACTTTGTCCCACTTTCCATCTAATTGCTTTCCATTAAAGTTTAAAAATAGCTAGACCAGGTTTTCGTGACCGTTTTCGAAAATATGTCACAGGTTAGATTTAGATATTTCCTCCCGTTTCCCTTTTGCCTTATTAATATAATAAATTCACATTTTATCTTTTGTATATTTTATGAGCAACAATATTAACGAGGAAAGTTGGTCGTTTTGATACTGTTTCAGGCTGCAGGCTTGCTGCACGACGACAGTTTGGGAATGCTGATGGAATTGAGCGTTGTTAGAGTTATAAGAATGCATGCACAAGAAGATGAGGTACTTTGTACAATTTTTTCTGTTCAATTTATTATACTTAAGATACAGGTTAAGTCACGAACAATTTCCTTCATCAAAATCACCACCTTTCTTTTTCTTCGTTTTCTTATTGTAAAAACATTAGCACTATCACATATCTTCTCCTATTGAATTGAACAGATGAATTTAGCGATTAGCAAAGATCCAGCTACGACGCTAAAATTCTTCCAAGAGTGGCAACAAATGATCAACCCCGGCGACGATACGCATCCAAACCATCATGACTGCGCGGTTTTGATTACTAAGTACTCAGTGTTCAAATTAATGTTATGCGAGTCCAACTTAACCTCGAACGAGCTTCAACGATCATTCGTTTGGTCAGGAGTGACATCTGTGATTCGGCGAGGTTGTGCGGTTTCACTGGTACTTCCACGATCGCTGGCACTTGCGATCCTTTGAAAGGAGCTGCTGTTGTAAACGACGTTGGTCTACGCACGGGATACCACATAGCCCATCACATCGGGCACACGTACGAGTTTCGCTCTTCTTGTTTTTCTACTAAACGAACATGATGACGGCACTCTACTACAATTCAAAGTGTTGGCGGGAATTTTGAATTAGTTCAAACATTTTTTGTTTCAATATTTTTATCAAAGACAAATATCTGAATTTATATTAATAATTTTGTATTATTTGAATTATTTATTTACTTACTTTACATATTATTTTTCATAGAGCTTTCTCAAAGTTATTTACATTTAAAATATTACACACACCAATTTACAAAGTTTAAAACATTGCAAACTATGTTCTCTTTCACATTATGCGACCCAGTTAAGGCTTCCCTTTTACTTGTATCGTCGTATTAGTTATTCATCTGCTATTTTGAATTTCCTTTCACAGACTGGGCATGTCGCACGACGTCGAAGAGGAAAATGGCTGCCCGGGCATAATTCATCGCGGAAAAGGTTACATTGAGACCACGGTCATGCACCCCGGCAGCGTGTACGTCACGAAAAGGTGGTCCAAGTGTTCGAGGAACTCGTTGAAATCGTATATCGAGTAAGAAGCTGCATTCTACGGCGACGGAACTTTATCAGATCGGCTTGAGATTGCTTTTGCTTTCATTCATTTTAAAGCAGCAAAGAAACCTTCTTGACCGAAAAACGCTTTAAAATTCCACGATAAAGCTGGATTTCTTCCAGAACTCTCCAGTGAACAGTATATACATTTTTATTCTGTTTTCCTTATCGTTAAAATTCTTATTGTTTTATCGAACTTTTCTTCCTACTTAATGAACTTACATATTTACTTTCTGGAGCAAAACAAAAGAAATGACTAAAATTCGGTCCAATGATGTATGTAGAATTTTTATAAAAGTACATTTTTATTATGGACCATATTTAATATTAGTATTGCTATCAAAGTAATACAAAAAGTTTTAAAAAAATCGCAAATACAGTTCATCTCTTGTTAGGATGCAATTTTTAGGTTAGTTTCTGAAAAGGACTTTTTTAATATGCTTTCGCTTGATAAAAATTAAAGAAATTAACTTCATTAATTATTTTTGCAGAACAAGTCTGGGATTCTGTTTGGAAGATGAGCCACAAAATTATGAGTTTCCACGTACAGAGCTCCTTCCAGGTGTAATGTACGACGCAGATGACCAGTGCAGACTACAGTACAACTCGGACGCGCGGCATTGTGACTTGGGAATTGTAAGAGAAAAAAGAAAGAGAACATCTAATTACCCCTGTATTATTTTTGCGAGCATGCTTGTCTTCCTCTATGAGCTGCTCCAATTTTCAACACGATATTACGTTACGTGGGGCTCTTGCTCAATCTTATTTTCCGCGTAATATTATGCGCCGCCGTTGAGCTCCATATCCTTTATGTTTCCGTAATATTTCGTCGTGACCAAGAAAATATGCAGCCTCACGGAAACTACATCGAATACACTTCAAATTAAAATATTTTTCGTCGTTTCGATTCAGGGGACAGTTCGATATACATACGTAGATCAATAAAGTCCAAGTACTTTTTTTACTTGAACGTGTAGAATGAGATTATGGGAAATTAAACATCTGCTAAAAAAAATACTCAATTTTCAATTCCAATTGCAAAGGTGTTCTCTTAACATCAAATATCGAGCACTAATGAACCATCGCTAAATTTTGCAGCATCCTTTCTATCTTTGAAGCACAAAATCAATATTTCCATAACTTTTACACTCTGTATTTACCTCATGGCGTCCACTGATTCAGGGAGAGAAAACACGATTGCAAATAACCAATGGTCACCTGTAACGCCCTCATTATTTCGTCATTCGAAATCATTGACGATGGCCCAACATCGTTCTGGAATTGTAATTTTATAATTGAACGCGGAAACACATGCAAAGGGAGACACGAGAGCGTTAACGAACGTAACGAAAATGCAGCCTCGCGTGTATTTATCGAATGACGTTGTTTTCTATAGAAGACTCGTAATAAAGGCATTAAATAGCGCCGCTGGTCTTGCTAAATACCTTATGCTAACATTACAGACCATGAAACAAAAGAAAGTTTGCCCGTAATTGCGTGAACCGGCGCGGTTTCATTAATGCGTTCCATTTGTTCATTATGTTATTCATATTTGTAACAGGGACGATGGGGTTAGGTGTAAAGCGACGGGTGCAAACACTTTTGGCTTTGTTCAACGACTTCACCCACGTTAATTAAACCGTCCGCGCATACGAAATTAGTTAAATTTGTCCGGTTGTTTGTTTTGACGAACAAAAAATTACTTCCAGCGACGCGTGTTGACATTTTTACCGTGCATCACCCGTGAAATTGTCCGCGAAACACTGGTTGTGTTTTCCACTTGTTAAAAACGCGCGAAACATGAATTGAAAATTTCTCGTGTTAATTACGTTTGTAAATATCTGTGTCAGTGAACAAGAGAACAGCTGGTTTTTGGGACCACGAAATATGAAATGTGTTTCGTGTCAATTACAAGTGTAGATTAACGACATAACCTAAAGTAACTTTTTTTTTTAATTATTTTCGTTAAATCTTTAGATTCTTCTTGAGTTAAATTAATTCTTGAGATCAAAAGTTTGTGTGAAATAAGTGCACGTTTTTAAAGGACGATATTTTACGAGGAATTAATCCGTTTAATTGTTGTGGAACAAAAAATTTTATTAGAGGACACAAAGTATATTAACCGTAACTGAATTCAGAGGCGTGCGATGGTAGCTGAAGAATATCATGTAATTTATTTAATTCAGTTTATCGTTTGTCTCTACACGTCGCTCGGACGTAATAAACTGCAGAAAACAATTACTTTTCTATAGCCGGATAACGTGGTTCCTCAGCTACAACTGTTTCAGGGATCATAAATTTTCTTTTATATCAGACGCTTCTGCCCGTGGAGCGTTTCTAAACTTTCCATCTGTGAACAATTTATAATTTCGGCTTTGAAAGAGGAGATTATTATCTCTGATATAGTTAACGGTATATTTTCACTTTAGGTGCTTTATCAATTTAATTAATAACATATTATGTATTGTGTACGCCACGGTGCAAGCTAAAGTCACAGTTTCCATTACTCCAGGAAACTTATTTTTCGAATTTCCTTGACAGATCGAATCAACAGTACGTCTGTAACAAAAGTTTCTCGAGTGCAAAGACTTAAAGATCTTAAAAGAGTTCAAAATTCTTTCACAGTTTTCATTTAAATCAGCTTTAAGTTAAATGATAAAACAGACAAATTTTTCTTGATTCATTGCAACATTAAATTCCTCTAAAGGTTCCTCCATATTTTCTTGACAATTCGAGCCATACACGAGCCGTCGACAGTGACCATATCGATGCGATAAACTGCCATAGATACAGACTTGCCGTAAAGAGGCACCATCTACCGCCCGCTAGGCTAAGCTTTACCTTGCGCACGACGGTCTACCTTATCCTTTTAGGAAAATATGTTCCATCGTGCGTCGTTTAGATAAGCGACACCTGGAGCCGGGCTATCGTTCCGTGATATCGCAATCGGCACGAAACCACTCCTTCAACCCTTGGAATCTAACCCGCCAATACGATCGCGTTTCGTTTTCAGACCTGCGAGGCCCTGAGGTGCGTCATTCCGGGAAAGGGTTGCGTGTCTGCAAGGAAACCACCAGCGGAGGGCACACGTTGTGGGGAGAATAGGGTAAATTATCGCCTGGAAATATACAAAGGCTAATTAGCCAGTGCTGAGATCTCTCGACGTTATTTAACTTTCCTCGACTAATGAAAAGGTTGGACGAACTGCACCAATGGATTGCTTGTACGACGTACAAAGGGTTTGATTTTTTGTGTGAATGCTCCATTATTTTAAAAGACCTTTAAGAAAATTTTTATACAGTATTTTGAAGATATTAGTTTTCGCACGTATTTCTTCTGGCAACATTCGTGACCGACATCTATCGACCCTATATATAAATCATCAATCTTTATTTCTAATAGTAGTTGTTACGACACGTTAGGGACATAACCTCAAATTCTTCCGTATTTTTCACATTTGCTTATCAGAAAAAAATTATAGTTGATATTTCTTCATTTTAACAGAGTTAATAATGGCAGTGCAATGATACAACGGTAAAGTGTAGCACAGTACTAAATACATAAAACAAAACCTATAAAATGTAGTTACACAGGTATATAACTTTTAATTCACATGGCGTTAGAGGACCCAAATGGCGTTTCTAAAAGCTCCACCGCTAACAGAGCTATTTTTCCCAAATTTTGCAGGCATTAAAAACATAAATATCTTGATACGAAGAATAAATATCTTGTGGACGTGTGTAATAAACATTTTTACAAACAGCCAGCTAATTACCCACGAGAACGTATCACGCGTCATCTTCAAGCGCCATATTCTATCGTGCGATCTATATTGCGCGCAGTTAGCACCCCTACATTTACATATCTGAATTACTCGAAGCTTTTTTTGAGTAACGACCAGCCGGTAAGAGGGTTAACGATCCGCGACGTCGGGGGGTCGAAAGTAAGCTTTATACACCGCGTGGCCGATTGCGAAAGAATTATACGTTTCTGCGTCGGAATGATACGTATTGTTTAGATATGCGATAATCCTCTATAAATACATCACCGGGAATTTTACAGCGGCACTTTTACAAGAAACTGGTCTAGTAGGATTCAACGGTAAAACTGCCTCGATAAAAATCTCTCTCTCTCTCCCTCTCTGTGACTCACTCACTCTGTTGGCCGTTTGAATTTCAATGCGAGTACGATTAAGACATTGTGTCCAGGCGCACATGCGAGAGTAGCTGTTTTTTCGCCTGGCGCGCGCGTATGCTTCGACCAACCGTGCCAGGCAGGCGTGCTTCATCGAACATGCTATGCTTATTCAGGTTGCACCGATCAAAATAATTAAAGTTCTAGCGTATAAGAATGAGTTGAACGTCTTGGGGAATAAGTTAGGTTTACACAACACACACAATTAAGAACGAAAATGTGGATCGTGTTTAATGTCACTGTTTTCCTCATTGCTTAATATCATGATCAAGTAGGTGCTATAGTAAGGTTAGATTAGGTTAGGTTATTTTTATTAACCGTTTCTTGCTGTTTATGTGACGTATGAGTAAAGTGGAAAGTAACAATGTGGTTTATATAGATTGTCGAGTGTATTGATAAAGAAATTTGTTTTGATTATGAAATAAGGTTTCTAAGAGAGGTGACATATACACACTCCTGTTCATGTATATTAAGATATAAAATATGTTACAGTATTCATACTTATATTATCTAGTTTGACATCTTGCGTCATGAAATATAGATACCTTCAATATTATAATGGAAATCTTACCGTGTTCATACGTGTTCAAAGTATTCCATCAACTCTGTTAACCTTAAAACAAAGGTGATTTAAAAATGTGAGGTTATGAAAGGGACATAATATATTCGTAACCAAAGTGTCAACAATGTTATGAGCATACCTAACCTCTCTATCTCCGGTATGTCACAATTTATAGAGAATATACATTCACTCGTTGTGCGTAACCTTTTCTCTTACTGCTTGAAACAGCTGAATAAGCATTTATCAAATATTTTATTATTTTATTAAACACTGAAAGGTGCTAATTTAACATGCAGCATTAGGAAAATTAAAAAATAATTCTCTGAAAGAACGCATGATCTCGTAATTAATTTCATTGGCGTATAATATTTGTGAAATTTAGAAATAACTGTTACGTTGTCTTTCAGAAGCAACTGAAAGGCTAGATTCAATAAGTATGCAAATTTTCCGCCATATTTGACTGCGGATGATACATGATGACAGAGTCGCAGGAAACTTGGCGGCACAGAGGGAGGCCGCGTTTGGTTAGCAATGTGTTAACGCTCATCTCAGCCACCGACCGTGACAAGTACAGCCTCGATGAACTGTAATGTACAAGGTGTCTCTGAAATCACGGTACAAGAGAAAAGAAGCTTGTCGCAGAAAGATAGATCAAGTTGTTCAATAACGTTTTCACGCTTCGTTTTCGAGAAAATCGAGCTTGGAAATGAAGATGGATGTTATGATAATCTACAATGATTGATGTTTAAAGTATATTAGAAAATATTCGTGTTAAGGGAAATTATTTTTTTTTTTTTGGATCTCCCTTCATTTTCTTTAAGATGTTCAGAATTTGAGGTTAAAAAATCTAGTGCACTTTATTTTTAGGTTATGCTATGGTTATAAATTGTGTTATAGATATGAACTTGAATTAATAACTATCCAGTTGAACTCGCTATATTTCTTCTACCGACTATACTACATTTCTGTGAACAGCATATATTTTTTGTATTATGTTAAAAGATTACATAGTCCTAGATTGCGTTAAAAAATGATTTTTTTTTATTGCAGTTAAGTAATACGATATACAGGGTGTTTCAAAATAGATGGAAAATTTTATGATTCATTATGAATTAAGGTTATTTTCTACATACTGTTCAATGGTTGATGCTTAGCGGGTTGCTTGACATCAGGAGCTTAACTCACACATCTTTCAAACTTTGTAATTCAAAAACAAATTAAGATAGAACATATGTTCATTAAACAAAAAATGTTCCTTTTATCATCCTCTATCACCTCACCTATATCGTTAACCCATAATTCTGAAAAACATTCTATAGGTATACACATATCCTAAAAAAATAATTGTATCAGTTATTTTTCAATATTTTTCTCAAATACAACGATAAGTACAGATTTTCAAATTTTTAAACTACCTTTACCTCCTTAAACACCAAAAATTATAAAACTAATTCTGTTCTTGGGTTCTCTAGGTATGTGTAGCTCTTTAATCAGAACTTTGTCCAGCAAGATGACAGCAAAGGTGGCGCAAAGTTGAAAAACAACTCTCAGACGGTGGATCGTTAGATTTTTATCGGAGATCGCGTTACAGGGGCTCGAGAATCTCGGCGACATTGTTTGAAACCGGTCGGTTTTCTGTTCTCAAAGTCATGAGATCGGATAAAAAGAGTAAAGTTGAACTCTCGCTTTCTCTCTCTCTCTTTGCCACGTTTTTATATCAACTTATGAACACACGAGTATAATTATTCGCGAGCGACGGACGCTCATGGTGATATTGTTTTTCGGTGGTTCATTCGCGAGAGTTTTATCACGTTCCTGCGGCTTCTGTCGCTGCCTGAAATTGTCGATTATCGAAAAATATTTTTGGTCTCGTCTCGTCACGTAGCGGAGCGTGATCAAATGACCACAACCGGCACTCTCTTTGCTGATAAATTGATTTTTTGATTTAAGGAGAAATCACGCGATGACGTGACTCTCTTTGCGTGGTCGTTAGATCTCAATTTGTCTTAAAGGAGGAAAGGAACTTGGAAGGGAGAGAAATGTGGTTATTTCGCTGGTTTCAGGGAGAAAGGAGACTGTCAGAGGAATATTGGAATCGGATATTTTATAAAATACCTAAGTTATTTAAAGTGCTGAAGTTAAATGTACTATATACTATGAAAACTGAAGTTGCAAAAAAAAAATGTATCATCAAAATATAAATAAAATTATTTGCACACTCCCACATATTCTGTGCAAATACTTTTTGCACCGACTGTACTCCCCTAGCCAAAGTATACAAGGTGGCTCAACTAAATAAGATCACCTAAATATCTGCCTTATTTGCTATTGTATGAAAAAACTTCTCAGGGCAAAGTTACACTATTTCAGATGGTACACGTAACCATAGAAACAGTTTCCTCTCAAGGTCACTTCTTTAAGAGATTTCAAGGTCATCGCTATTATTTTAAATAAAATCCTACATTTGTTTTCAATATCCATGTAGAGAGTGAAAAGAAAAAGTCAACGACCTTAATAACCATACCATTGCCATCGTTCAATTTCGAGACATTTGCTAGAGAAGGCTTCGAGAAGGCTACTTTAAATTCAGTTCTCGTTC